CACCATTTGCTGCCTTTGCTTTTGGGTTGGCACGGCACGGGAAGGTCACAGGGCGGAACAGCGACCTCACAGAAGCACGCGGCTTGGGCGCAGAGGCGGGATGCTCGTGATTTTGAATGCCCGGAGGGGCGCAGGGCTGAATACAATGCATAACCCATTGGACATACGTGCCACAAGCTCCCTTCGCGGATTGCATATAGTTTCACCCCAGATATTGGGCTTTGAAAATGGGGCCAGGAGGGATGATGACACCGCTCATCGATGCGCACTGAAGCGCCGCATTGCATCGACACAGTCTGAACATGTGACACACAGGCTCAGGCTTGGTTTTCACGTTTACATTTACGTTTTTACATTGGCGTTTTTATGCGCAGAACGAAAATTTGCGAAAAGGGCTATGTTTATGGTTATTTTTACGGTTTTGCGGCTCGTTGGGGCATACACGTTACACAATGAAAGTTGCGTACAATGAACAGCCCTTCGCCATATCCAGCACCCTCAACACAGTGCCACCTCGCCTTCGGTAAGGGCAACGACGACATGGAACAAAAGTTCGTTTTCTACCCATTCCAGTGTGTCTGACTGCCACTCCCCGAACACCGCAAATCTATATGAATTGTTGTGATGTAAACGGAGCTGTACGTACGTTGTCTTTACTTATTTTCACGTATTTTTACGTGTAAAATCATTAGAACAATTCTTACGCATAAAAACGTAAATACATTCAGTTTTTACGGTGTAAAAAGCCAGCCTGTATAGGCTTGATCTTTACGTTCATGGCACCACTCTTGCGTTTTCATGTACGATTTTTTGCCTAGAAACACGTAATCACAGAAGCGCCCCTCATAACCGCCATATTTACACATTTTAGCACACGCTCGGGCAGTCAACGGTTGAGTGATGAAGATGCAAACAATGCTCAATCCTCCGGGTCCTCGAGCACCCGCAATGCAGCGTCCACCTCGCTCTCGGAAATGGCACCAACATCGCCAAACAAATGGTCATTTCTGTTCAATCAATCGCTTCTGAATGCCACTCCACAGACTCCCTGAGACTGCGTGTATAGTATTAATGTACGCAAGTTTACGCCCTCATAAGCGCAAGCATGCAAGTACTATTTTTGCGCATAGATGCTCATAAATAAAACATGCTTACGCCGTAATGACCGAGCATGCCGAACACATGTGAGTGGTTGCTGGCCCGTTTCCGTCCCTTGTGTGTGATGAAGCGCTGAAAAAACTGTGTCCGAAGCACTAGCAAAACGAGGCACTTTCAGAGCCAGGTCCTGGCGTCCAGGACCGTGTTCGGGACGGGGTCCTGATGCCGTCATGCCGCCTAGGACGTAGTCCTGAGCCACGACGGCGTCTGAGACGGCGTCCTGACGCATTGCGGACGACGCCACCAACTTTGCAGGTGAACATTCACTCCAGGGGGTGCCAGGGCGGCAGTCCCGATGGGATCCCGTTCTAGCTGAAGAGGAGGAGCCCTGGACCCTGTCCTGGATGTCATCCCTCCGGGCGCCGTCCCGGACGGCGTCCTCAGTGGCGATACCGTCCTGGTGGATGGTGCCATCATCATTGATACCGCACATACAATCCTACATCATGCGTATGCGTATATACGTATACACAATCGCACACCATTCGACGTAGTTCGCCAGCTAGGCCCACATTCGTACTGCATCCCCTTCAGGACGACGTCCGGGACGCCGCCCTGGCTCAGGACCCCGTCCGGGACCCCGCCCTGTCCCAGGACCGCCAGGGACGCCATCCTGGCGCATTCTCATGTCCGGGACGCCGCCAGAGATCGAGCAGTGCTGCAGTACCGAGGTAGCGGCGCTGTGTCTGTGGGGCGACGTGTCGAAGCTTTTGCGGATGCACATACAGGTATACCTACCGTATACCCCCGTATACGGAGGCAGCGCTTCACATTTTGTGGAATGAATGTGTTGATGCTGATCACCAAACTTGCGTGGCCAATTGGCCAGTTGGCAAGTTGGCCTGGGTGATGCCCTGTAAACATTTTTTGAGCATTTTCTTGTTTTATGGAAGCTTTGGCCTTTTGGAGGGCACTTCGTATCAATACGATGGGTGCAATGTTAGGTTTGCTAAGTTCCGGTGGGTGCATTCACTGAAAGTTTGCCTTCATACGGCTGCACCATTGTGCTTTCTGAGGAACGCCCGTTGCGTATGGAACTGTTGACGGCAGTAGTGGTAAAACATTAGCAACCATGAGACTGGGTTTGGTGGCGAGAGCACTGTGATAGTCGCAAATGGGAACAAAATTGTGAAAGTCTAGCAACAAGGGCCCATTCTCAACTGCCAGCAGTGAAGCCGCTGAATAAGAGGTGTTTTACCGCAAGCGTGGTCATGTGGTTGCTGGGGGAGCCATTCTGGATATGCCCCCGCTGGTGGAGTTCGATGCTTTTAGTGCTGCTGGTATGCGCTTAAAGCTTCACCGGTAACTTGCGAAGGGCACCCAAGTTGGTAGGAAGAGGGATGGGGCCTTGAACTGACCAGCTGAGGACATCTGCTTCAACATTCTGAGATCGCTCAAGGCTTGCAGAGCCATTCATTTTCCTCCCTTGTATGCGTGTTTCCCTTCTACTCTCTCCCAGGCTGCTCTGTTAGCTATCAAGCAACACGTACGCCTGCTAATATGCGCTCTTCATGCTTGCATTGAAATGGTGTCGCGAGCCCTTAGTGTACCCCTAGTTCATTTCCAGACTGCTGAGCTACATTCCTCAAAGTTTTGAGCACAATGATCACAATGTTACAACATCAGGTACCTTTGAAGGTACAAGATGGGGGATTCCCCAAGCACATGCTGTCTTGCTCCATGGCTCCCTTGCCAAGAACCTTGAGGTTGTTGTAGGCTGGTTGAAGAGCAAACAGTGCCTTCTAGTGGGTTTCAGAATTGATCCATCAGATATGATGGCACCCTTATCTTGCTTGCTCCAGAAACTCCTCGGTGTTTCACAGGTGCGAGGGAATAAATCCATTTTGGCAAATATCTGGTGATGGAAAACAACATGCCCACCACAACTTGGGTGCAGTCCGTTGCCGTCGTGGCCCGGATGGCTGTTTTAAGGACAGCAAACTTGCTTCACTGGAATCTCGTTCAAGGTGCGGACTGGGATCTGTGGTCCAAGTCCCTAGCAATGTGGCAGGTGATCAAGACTTTTGCATTTGTTGTCCCAAACCTGTGCATCTGCCACGCACATCCTACCACCCATTTCTTATGGCTTCGGCTGCAGCGGTCAATTCAGGGGCTCATCTGCACTGCAGACACAATTTACCTTGAATTCTGAATCGATTCTCAATTCTCTAGGGAGTCGATGGGCAATGAAAACTTTATTTTCATTGCAGTTGCCATCACAGTGCCAAACGTTGCATTTCTTGAGTGGGCCAGGGTAGTATTGCAAAATTCTTTGGAGGAAGTGGGTGATGGACATCCTAGGTTCCCTTCCCAAAGCCTTGGTCCAACCCTGCAGGCCTTATGGGTCCCTCCACGACATCCCTTGCGATTTATGGTCCAGGGACCGTCTCGTGCGCTTCGCAATCGCGCATTGCCCCCTTCCCGATCTTTCTGTACAGGTCCGTTCCACAGCAACCCTCTTAGTCGCTCAGACAATCCACGGCAACGGGGCGCCTCTTTCAGCGTTTTCGGCCACTCTTGGTCCCCCATTTTTGTGGCCTGATGCCTCGTCAGGCAGCACAGCGATCCGGCTGACATCTCCCGCCAAGCGCAAAGGGATTCGTCACAGCCATCAGCTTAGGGCTCCCCTTTCCCTCACAGCCAGGCGTCCCACCGTGGGTGAGAGGGTTCCTGGCCCTGGGCACCGGCAGGGGTCTGCTCCCCAGATTCCTTCCACGCGCAAGACCCCCATGTGGCTGCACGATTGTGGCCCCGGGCCTCAAGCCACGCGCCCCGGTGGCTTGCATGCCTTCCGGGCAAATCCAGGGCAAGGCAACGAGTAGGGAGGTGGACAGCGGCAAGGTTTGTTTTGGCGGCCGCTTTCAATTGGCGGCTGGTGAGTTTAGCATGGCGCGTCGTTTGAAAGTTTTGTGCTGTGGGCAGGCTGTGCTCAACAGCTTGCCTCCCGGCTTGGTGCTCGGGGGCGGTTGCGATGACTTTTCCCTTGCATGCCTGCTCTCTCTACGGTCCCCAAACCGTGGCCAAGCGCCTCGCCCGTCTCATTCTGATAGCTTATGAAGCCAATCAACTCTTTTCGACATCACAATTGCAAAGCACTTTCCGTTTGAGTCCCCGCTCCCCAGCTTGCAAAGATAATTCTTATGATGTGTTCCCATCGACGAACGCTGTTGGCAACAGGGCCTCATAGAATCCTAGATCCTGTTTGTGTTATACAACAGATTTTATGAACTGGTCATAGACATTGCTTTGCTCGGGCAAAATGGAAGCTGCCGCCTACCTTACTGCCCTGTTCTGTAGAAAAATGATGATGATGATTGTCGCGCTCGTCGTTCGCGCTCGGTCGCACTCGGTCGCTCCCAGGCACGGGAAGCAAGACCGTAATCAGATGCATTGCAGGATGACTGTACCAGTGAGGTAATTGTCCCTGCAAACATATCCGTCGCATTTCCCCTTCCCGCTTCTCCATGTACGTGTCACCACGACACCGTCACCATATTCACCACACCACATTTCACCATTAATCTCCATATGTCACACAATCACTCATCAACTGTTCTTTCGCCTGACAATGACGATGATGATGGCAGGTTACGAGATGGTCGCCAAACGTCATTCGCCGAGGCAATACAGGCCGCGGCTCGACAAGTCCGCAAACCCTACAACCCCGCCTCCGCGCCTGGCGGCCCCTCCCGCCCGGGTCCGGCCAATCTGTGGCGCCCGGCGCAAGCCCGCCGCGCTCAGACCCCATAGCGGATCGGCAGGGCTGCCATCACGATCGCGAGCGCAATTGCAGTTGCAAGGCGAGGCGAACGAGAGCTGGTCCTCCGGGGCAACGGGTCGGCATGAGCGACCTGGAAGGTGTTCCCGACCCCCAGAAGAATTTCGGGTCTGGCCGAGCCTGGGGGGCAGCAAAGCCCAAGGAGCGGCGATGGCCGATGGGGTATGCACTGTGCTCCGCGGGGCTCAGTTTTGAGTCCGCGGAGCTCGAGAAGCGGTACTGCGAGGGCCGCGCGGAGTCCCTGTTCTTCTTTGTGGACCGGATGTCGGTGGTGATGCGGCTGGGAGTGCCGACGTTCGCGATCGCCAGGCAGATGAGGCGCTGGAGGGAGGAGGGACACCCGCCGAGGGCGATGCCAATGGCAGCCATGCTGATCGCCGTGGCGCTGCTGGCCGTCCCGCTCGCTTTGGCGTACGGCCGTGGGCGGTGGGCGATGAGGATGCGGGCGCCGGCGATGATCGTCACAAGAGGTGCGTGACTGAAAGGGGGTGGGGGTGGGGGGACTCGCTGATTTGATCAATGGTGGATGGCATTCGGTTCCAGCAAGTGAAAGGCCGGGCGGGAAGGGAACGCGGAGTGTGCGCCCGCGATGTCGTGCGCCCGCTCGCTGCATTGGCGAATGCGGTATGGCATTTCCCCGTTGCATCGTCGTTTATTCGACCGCATGTTTCTTTTCGCGGCCTCGCAGCAGAAGACGGCGATGGGCAGAATCCCACGCTTTAAGGTTGGCTCCGTTCTTGGTTCCGTTGATGATTCCGTTGTTGGTTCCGTTTTGGTTTGTCCCCATGGGCGCCCTGCCCAGCGAGGACAGCCGCCGGTCGGTGGAATTGTGGAGAGAAAGGCGAGCGGATACCTGCCCGCGGATTGGCCTTTGGGGCATGTCCCGCGGTTGGCGTCATCGCGCCCCATCAAGACGCACCTCGCCTTCTCAGGCACCCAGTTTGTTGGGGAAATCGCTTTTTGGCTCTGTGCTGCAAAATCCTATGTCATTCCCCCTTTGACAACCAGCAATGAGGTTCACAAGAGGAAAGGAAACCGTGCCTTACACAATTTGTATTGCCCTCGTATCGGCAAGATGCGTGAACTTTGCTGCAAGCACGCTTGAAAAGGTGATGCAGCCATTCCCAGGGACAGGAACACCAAACAAGTGGGCAGGAAGGAAGGAATGCACATATGAGCCAACGTGAACTATGACACACTGGTCATGTCAAATGTATCTACTGAACTCATATCATCAGACATCGTCTAGTCCCTAGCCTACACTGGCTTCACAGTGCTTGGCCAGAATGCCCCAACTCCAGAGTCAAAATAAGGCACACTGAAAGTGGGCAAAACAGTGAATACATTGGCATGCCAGCAGCGAGTCTAAGACAGACCTCAGCAGTTTTGCTATGACCCCTTCCGAACCTCCTAGTGGACCAGCAACTTCTGGCCCCTCCAAACTGCGGTACATCCTGACCTAACTGCTTTGCCCACGCACTTGCTTTCCAGGTGGAAATTCCTTCCCATAGGCTCTAGCACACCCATGACTACTTCAGCGTGCATGACTGGGTGATCAAACCTCAGCAGCCAAGTGACTGTTTTGTTGATGGTGCAGCAGCCAGCACCTCTGAAACTCAAAGGCCTGCAGTGGCCTCTGAATCATGGTCATCAAGGCACTACACACACAGAACAATACATATGATCCCCAGCAGTTCAGCATAACAGGCAATGGTTGCTTGGCTCAGAACTTTGGTGTCTGCTGCAGGAGGAGTGGTTCCTTTGGCCTTTATCACATGCGTTATGGACATCATACAGCTATCCAAACTGCCAAACTGGGCGAGCTACCTGCAGTGGTCCTTGCTGTGCTGCGGCATTTTCATGACTGCGAACACCCCATTCTTGATGCCCCTGCACTTCAAGCACCACCTGCCCCTGCAGCTCTTCGTGGTATCCGTGATGATCTGTTACCAGGTACCAAACTTGTGCCATGTAGTTGAGAGCCGCCAGGACATACACGGCTTTTTTAAAGCGACCTGGCAGGCAGTTTCTGCAAGGGCAAGGGATATTGTCAACATCATGTTCCTCAGTGGGCCACGCACTTGGGGGCAGGCAGAGCTGGAACTTGGGGCAAAGTGTCAGCACATGTACACTTCCTTGCACCTTGTTTTTGGCCTGGTGGTCCCAACGTACATTTGGTGGTTGTGGGAGTACCAGTCACGGGTGTTTTTCCTCAGCAAACGGTGCAGCAGAGAGGAGAGGCGGGGCGAGGGCGAGTGGGCGCAACTGTCCTTGACTTCCATCGCCTCTCATGTCGTGATCCTCGTTCTGTTCTCTGCAGTGTGCTGGGAGGGGCTCCTGGGACTTTTCGTTGACGTTGACGAAGGCGGCGTTGAGCGCCGTGGGGCGGTGGGTGCGATTGGGTAGCTTGTCCATGGGATTACGAATGGGATGAACCTGGGATGGAACTGTGTGATACAACTGGGAGTGCGATCTGGGATGGATCTGGGATGGAACTGTAGGATGGAACTGGGAGTGCGAACTGGGATGGAAGTGTATGGTTAAGGATCGAGGAGAAAATGGGGCTTGGGCACGGCGGTAGGCGGAGAAGAGGGAGGCGGGGGTGGGGTGGGGGTTTTAGGGGATTCATTTGTTTGCAGACGATGAAGTCACCCATTCCCTGCAGAGGGCAAGAAACCGCCTCGCGCGTCGGTTTGCCCGGGGCCGCGCGAGGGCACAGAGCACACGGGGGGGCCGGGGGGGGCAGTACTGCGACAGAGGGCGCCCATCGGTACCGCCTTCTGCTGATGGCCATGACTAAGCGCTGCCCAGTACGCATGAGGTACGGTCGGCCGGACGTCGTGCGCCGCACACCCCCCCGACCCCGAGAACAGCGTTGGGGCCAAAACAGCCCAAGCGGCACAACCCTGGCAAACTCCTGCGCCTGGGAGCCTCGCCCCCACGCCTGGCCCTGGAGTATCGGCCCGTCGATGCGCGGCGCCCATTTTTGGACGCCGTAGCGGGCCGGCAAGCGTGTGAGTGCAAGGATAGGCGAACATAATCCTGACCCCTCCCCCCGGGGACCATTCGCCAACATGGGAAATCTCGACGGGGTTCACGACCGCAGGGAGAGCTTTGGGTTCAGCTGCACCGGTTGGTTGGCGACGCCCAGGGAGCGGGGGTGGCCGCTGGCGGATGCGTTGTCTTCCGTGGGGCTCAGTTTTAAGTCCCCGGAGCTTGAGAGGCGGTATTGCGAGGGGCGCACGGAGTCCCTGTTCCTCTTCGTGGACCGGCTGTCGGTGGTGATGCGGCTTGGCGTGCCTGCGGTCGGGGTGGCCATGCAGCTGAGGCGGTGGCGGGACGGGGAGGCGGGCCCGCCAGGGGCCACCGAGACGACGATCATGGTGATTTGCATGGCGATCATGATGCTCCAGGTGACGCTGGCGCACAGCCGGGGCGCGTGGGCGCTCAGGATGCGGGGGCCGGCGACCGTCTTCACGAGGGGTGCGTGAGTGAACACCTGCAAAGAGTGGGGGCGGGGGCGGGGGCGGGGGCGGGGGCGGGGGCGGGGGCGGGGGCGGGGGCGGGGGCGGGCGGGGGGGATATTTGTTACAAGAGAAAGAAACAGATTGAAGCGAGGGCACCCCTCAAGCAAGTGTGTGCGAGACTCGTCCGTGCTGTGGAAAGATGGGTGAGCCTGCGATGCGAAGTGATGAGCACAAAACGCCAAAAGGGGAGATCCGGCGTTTGGAGCATTCGATTCGATGCGATTTGAGCGGGCAAGAGAATGGCGGTTGGGTGGGGCGCGCCCGTGTGGCGTCCCCCGCGCCCGCCTATGGGTGGGCGCACCGCGGGAGGATGGGGATCTTCCTGCTGCGTTGTTTTCTTCGATCGCGTTTGGTAACGTTAGCAACGCACGGCCTTTGCAGCATGCACTGGTGCAGATTTCGGCGCAGCGAATATGGCTCCTTTGCGTTGGTTTGCCCCCACGGGCGCCTTGCCTCGCGAAGATTGCCGCCGATCGGTGTAGGTGCGGAACCCGAGGCGAGCCGACCCCTGTCCTGCAAAAGGGCGCTGTGTGATCCCGCGGCTGGCGCTGTGGCGTCCCATGGAGACACCTTCCGCCGTCGATGCCTCACCAAGTCTATGAGACACCCTGGTTGTTGGGGATGTCATTGTCTCCTCCCCCGTTACAGTATTGTATTCTCCCCTTGTCTGCAGCCAGCAGTCACCCTCAAGGAGTGGAAAAGAACCTCAAGCAAATTAGCACCACCCTCAGTGAAGTCCAGCTTGTTGGGGACATCGTTGTCTTGCTACCCACTGCAGTTCCATATTCTTTGCCTGTCGCCAGCCAGCAGCGATTCTTACTGCGAGGGAAGTGTGCCTCACACATTTGCACCGCCCTCATCCCAGCATGATGTGTGAGACTTTGCTCCTGGTGCTCTGGGAAGGAATTGTAGGAGTCTCAGGGGCACAAACGGCGAAAATAGGGACAGACAAGTGGAGCTACTGTGAACACGGTGCCATGCCAGCATGTCGAAGACAGAGCTGCACGTCCTGCACTTCAGGCCCTCCGCAGCCCCTAGCAGACATCCTGCTTCCCACCCTTCCAAGATGTCAACTCCAATTTCGCACCCTGACCTCACTGTTTCCAAACATGTGGGGTTGCAAAGTGGTGCACTTGGTGGAAGTCCCCATTCCATGACCTGTGGCATCTTGGTGACTGGCCCATTGTGCTTGACCATAGCATGAGCCCTTAGCTGTCAAGGGACTGTTTGCCCTGATGGGGGAACTGTCAGCCCCTCCGATGAAACATACAAGCCCCTGATACGGCCACCGAATCATGGCCTTCAGGGCAACACACGAAGAACACTATGTAGAGCAAGTATGCTAACAGCACACACAGCAGCCACTTGACAGTCGTACTTTTCTGTCTGCTACAGGAGGAGTGGTTCCTTTTGGCTTTGTCATGTGTGTTATGGACTTCGTGCACCTTTCCAAGCAGCCAACCTGGGCGAACTACCTGCAGTGGTCCTTCCTGGGTTGTGGCCTTCACATGACCGCCAACACCCCATTCCTAATGCCCCTGCACTTCAAGCACCACTTGCCACTGCATACCTTCGTGGTATCTGTGATGATTGCCTACCAAGTACCGAACTTGTGCCATGTCATTGAGGGCCGCCTGGACATACACAATTTTGCTAACATGACCTGGCTGGCAATTTCTGCACTGGCAAGGGATATTATCAACATCATGTACTTTGCTGAGCCACACGCACGGGTGGCGGCCAACCTTGACCTTGGGGCAAAATGTCGACACACATACACTTCCTTGCACCTTGTTTTTGGCCTGGTGGTCCCAACATACATTTGGTGGTTGTGGGAGTACCAGTCACGGGTGTTTTTCCTCAGCAAACGGTGTAGCGGAGAGGAGAGGCAGGAAGAGGGCGAGTGGGCGCAACTGTCCTTGACTTCCATTGCCTCTCATATGGTGATCCTCCTTTTGTTCTTTGCAGTGTGCTGGGAGGGACTCCAAGGACTTTTTGTTGGCATGGACGAAAGGAGCTTTTCGCATGATGTTGCTTTGGATGCAACATTGTAGTTAACTTATTTGGTTCTTGTTTACTTGTCGGCATCGTGAACTGGATTTGTATGATTAGGTGTGGGATTGCAAAGAATATGGGGCTTAGGTCCGGCAACCTGGGGTGGGGTAGAGTAGATGGGGTGGTGGGGTGGGAGCCTTTTAGAATACAGGGGATTCTTTAGCTGCCAATTGGGATGCCATCCTTTGTTTGGTCGTGAAAACACCTTTCTCTGCAGAGGGCAGTGCAAACAACCCCACCCAAAGTCAGTTGACCCATCGCCTTGGCCCATCGCGGGCGCTGAGAGGACAGAAGCGTGATTTGTTGTACTCTGACAGGGATTGCTCATAGGTACTGGCTGGTTTCTGATTGGCATGACTGTGCATTGCCGAGTGCCAAATCTTGTACTGTTTTGTAGTTGACGGAGCACGTTGGGCGCAGAGAGTGCGTTCGAAAAAGTGTGCGTTCAAACATCATTTCAGGAAGCTATGCCGGAGGTCCATTACTTAATGAATGCAGGGAGGGGCACTGTTGCCTTGTACTTTATTCTTGCTCGAAGGCGTGGAGGAAGCATGGTGTGCCTCTCGCCCTTACCAGGATGCATAATCGGTGTGCGCTTTCTAATCAGCTTCGCTTTTAAAATGCGATGCAAAAACGCGACTGGGGGGTTTGGCTTGTTTCATTTTGGGGTCGTTGGACGTAACCAGGTATTCTCCACAGTAGAGGGCAGTCCAGTTTGGGTGATCCTCTCGTCGCCTTGCACGTGCAGAAGGCACTGCACATCATGAGCTGAAATGCTTTCCCTTATGCCCCGCATTCAACAACGCAAGTCCAGTCGCACACATTGCATCGCTGGCCCTAGCCTGCTGAATAGAACACCTTGCGTGTGCGCTTGCCCGGTCCCTCAGACACTGTCAGCAGCGACTGGCCATGTCCTGGCAATTGCAATCAGACCAGCTGTCTCCCTACCCATCCGCGACATGGCGGACAGCTGTCACCATTTACAGTGGGCAGGGACGCGGCCTAGTCAACACTGGCACAACCTCCATGGACACGCAGCACGCTGATATCTCTTACTTCGCTCCGGACGGGTGGGTGTATGACAGGCGCTCAAGGGAACATCACCCTGATTGCGTATGAATAGCGCTGAACGGTAGCTATGCCGTGAACTCTCTGGCGCCTCTCTGGCGCTTGCCACAGCATGAAAATGAGTGCCGCATACACCTGCTTTGGCGGCGTTACCTCCTGCATGATCTGTTTCCTTTTCACTTTGCAGCAAATCTTACTTCTCTTCGACGCGGCCCCCTGAGTGCACGTTCTCTCGCCTTTTGTGTTGCTTGTGTTACGTCATCATTTCGCACCGGAGGCTGTACACCATCTCCTGACCGCATGGAAATGAGCCTCGCATTCACCTGCTTAGGAGGCGGTGCCGTTTGTATGACCTGTACCACTTTCTCTTTGCAACGAATCTCACTCTGGCGCCAATCATAAGGATTTCCCCACAATACTGAATGTCACTACACAGCAATAACCGGCTAAGTTTTGCGAGGCCTGGTGCGGTTGCTGGGCTGCTGCAGTCCTCCCTCGCTTGGCGTACCCAATTGAAAATTAGGCCCCCAGCTTGCGCCGCTCACTGCTGCTTGGCTCCGCCCAAAGGTCGCACCCACCCAGCGCAAGGTTCCATAAACGCTTTGCCCTCGCCCGCTCAGCAACGGCCCCGACCATGCCTAGTCGGACAATGCAACCGCCGGCCAAACTCCAACTGGCAATGGCGCATGGGGCCAATACCTCACGACAAGTTGTTGCACAACGAGGTACTAAGGTAGCCATCAGGTTCGCATTTACCCGAGCACAGCAGTGGGGCCATACCACTGGCAGCTACGGGTGGTCGCCAATGGTCTGTCGCGCCCACGGGTTTCCACAACAACCCGTGTTATCTCGAGCCCCTGTCATTCTCCATACTCTTCATCAGTTCATAACCCGCTGCGACGAGAGCAACCAGGCGCCTGTCACCAATCGCCGTTGCTGATTATCATCAAGCATCTGTCGCTGATGGTACTGACGAAGGCAGGCAAGATCGAGGGGTGGCGATCCCTGAACGGGAATTGTACGCTGGAGTCCACGGCAACGGTTTACAGCCGAGGCAAAAGGACAACAAGCGTTCTGTCCTTTATACTCCGTCCGTTCATCAACATCCTTAATGCAATTCCTAATGCCTCATCATCTCTTCGTGCACTCAGTTAATAATAATACTCAATCAGTTCTAGCCGTAACAGTACATATCTGCCTCTCAAAAGCGCAGTCATCCGGACCGCCAGCAGACCATGCCCCCCGCTCGCCACCCCAATCCATAAATGCGCGCTCAGAGACAGCAGCCCGCGATACCGTTTTGTATGGCATGGGTGCAATCGCGGCTTCAACGTGTTCCCCGCGCCGTCCCGTGGACTTGTGCCCAGCAAAGCAACCCGCCAAAACCGCCATTATTGACATGGCGAAGCACCAAACATATATAGTAGAGTATAGTACAGTAGAGCTTGTAATATATCGAGCGCGATAGTAGGACTTGCGCAGGGCCTTTTTCGCACAACGCAAAAGTCAAACCTCTTTCTGCCTTGATTTGCCTTTAAAAATACAAAACTCTGCGCGTACAAGCCCTCAACCTTCCGTTGACCGCGTGTGTCTGAATCAGAATATTCTATACCCCAGACCACTTGCAAGTCCGAAAACACTTGCCATTGGGCATGCGTTGGGGGTCATGAACGCCGAACAGCCTGGTCCTAAACACTAGCAACAAAGCAGGCCAGATGACACAGTCCTGATGTAGTCTACTCAAAATCCAACACTGTGCTTTCAGCAAGCGTTGTCCCAAAATTACACAGTTAATACATACATTGACACAGTTTCAACCGTGTACCCTCAGACAGTTGTGT